TTTTCCAGACTAACAAATACAGATTATACTCCATGAATTCCTTTACTCCCCCACTCTATGGACTTCCTAAAATCCATAAGACACAGATCCCTATCAGACCGGTTGTTTCCTTTGTCAACTCACCAGCCAGTCCACTGGCTTCTTGGTTGAATAACATTCTCAAGGATCTTCTTGATTTCAGAAATACTTATTCAATCAAGAATTCATTTGACTTGACTAACAAAATTAAAAATTTTGTAGTTCCACCTAACTCCATTTTAGTTTCCTTCGATGTCTCAAATCTTTTCCCTAGCATCCCACCAGACCAATGTATCCAACTAGTGAGGGACATTTTATTTCAAAGTGGCATTCTCACTCAACATACACTCAATTTATGCACATTACTTAGCATTGTCCTTGAACAGAATTTTTTCAAGTTCAATGACAAAATTTATAGTCAAACAGAAGGTCTAGCTATGGGTTGTAATTTATCACCCCTACTTGCCGAAATTTTCATGAGCAATCTAGAAAAAGAATTTCACAAGAACCCCATTTTTCAAAATAATGTTAAGTTCTATTACAGATACGTTGATGATTCCATAGTTTTGTTTGATGGCGATGGTACTATGCTTAATGATTTCTTGCTTTTTCTCAACAATTTACACCCCAATATCAAATTCACCATGGAAGTTGAAGTTAACGGTTCTATCCCCTTTTTGGACTTGAAGATTAATAGATCTCACAACAACCTCACTTTCGACATTTACAGAAAGCCCACCCATACAGACACAGCTATACCGTTCAGCTCCAATCACCCCTATCAACAGAAATTTGCTAGTTTTCATAGTATGTTTCATAGACTCTTCAATTTACCTCTTTCAGTAAGTTCTTTTAATAATGAACTCAACATAATAAAACAAATTGCACATAATAACGGTTTTCCACTAAATTTAATTAACAAACTTTTTTATAAACACCAATCAAAATTTATTAACAGGAACCTTCTGCCATCAATCGAAAAATCCAACAGGATATACAGATCTATGTCCTATTTTGGCCCACATTCCCTCAAATTTTCAAAAATCTTTGCACAACATAACATTTCTTTATCTTTCAAAACCAATAATAGTTTAGGTTCCATTTTTGTTAATAACAAAGATAAAAACCCTGTACATTCTAAGTCAGGCGTTTACAAGATCAAATGCTCTGATTGCAATGCAGAATACGTTGGTCAGACAGGGAGAGCTTTTTCCACCAGGATAGCAGAACATAAAAAGATAATTGACAAATATATTAACTCTGATATCATCAACACTACATCTTCTTTCGCAAACCATGTTCTCGAGAATAAACACAAACATAATATAGTAGAAGATTTTGAAGTTCTACATGTTCATCCTAAAGGAAAAAAGCTTAACCTTCTGGAAATCCTAGAAATCAATAGATCTGCCCATTCAAATTCAACTGTTTGTCTTAATGAACAAGTTAGATTTGATTGCCTATCCACTTTCAATTCCATTTTGTAATCTTCCTCTCCATTCATTGGTTGCATTGGCAATTCCTTTTTTAACGTTGTTATTCCTATTTCAAAAAAACACAATTTTAAATACCCGACTTAGTCAATCTAGACACATTTCTTTGTTTGTTATGAATTTTGATGTATGGTCCATTAAGTCAACTTCAATGTTTTGTGTTTTTGATAGATGACATTTGTCACTTGTTTGTCGAATAATAATTTTTATCTGTCAAATCAAGTAGTCTGTCGGTTTGTTCACTTCATAACCGCGCCATTTGCTGTAAACAATGTTTATCTGATCCAAAAGAAGCATCTTAGAAAAATGTTTATTTGGGGGTTCAAAAAACCAAAATTCAAAAATGTTACTTGAAATTATTTTGGGCTTAAAAGCCTTAAGAACTATGTTCTCAATTTTATAGTTTCCTTTCTCCTCCTATCTAGCAAGGTATGTCACCCCTTTTCCAATAGTGATGGAACTTCTTTCATTTATAAGTGTTGTATTTTAGCCTGATGATGACTCCTAGGAGTCGAAACATGTAGCATATAGCATATATTATTTGATTATAATTTACTTGGAGCGAGACTTTGAGTTTGTTCTCTTAATTATCTCATCACCTCCAATTTGAGCATGGACTACTACCAGAGACATATTATTATGTTGATATGAACTTCTCTCCTCAAAATCATCCAAGGATCATCGCCCTTTAGGATCAGCATTCAATTATGAAACACCCTGTATATCCTTTGGTTGATTCCAGTTTGACGTAACCACGCGTTCATTTATTACTGTTGTGTCAAACAAAATTGCAAACCATTCCAGCGATGTACAGAGATAGTGGACGACTTTTGGTGGCTTCCGAAATGACACCCAGATAACACAATGACGTTATGATAACCTTTTGAGGACGTCCTAATGATATCCTTAGGATGTCGAAAGGCATCCGCAAGACGTCTCTGGGATCTCCACCTGTTACCATTGTGTACATCCTGAGGACGTCTCAAAACATCCCAATAATATCCTCCAGAGACGTCCTGAAGTCGTCTCAGGAGCTTTCTGAGGATATACTTAATGATGCATCGGTAAGACGTCTCTAGGGCATCCACCTGTTACCGTTTTCTACATGCAAATGACGTCTCAGAATCCTCCGATTCCACTAAGTGGTTCTTCTATTCTTGGAATCCTGAGATAGTTCTGGATACAAATCTGACATTTTCAGAGTTTTTACGTCTGTCTCATATTTTTTTAGTCACTTCTAATATTGCATCTAAGTGGCCATGATCGGACGTAATCTAAGGACCTCATCAGATGATGTCCCTATACGACTCCCTGAAAAATTGAGGTAGTATTTCCCTGAAATTGCAATTTTGATTGTCTTCTGGATGGTGTCAAAGGAAGTTATGATTCTACAACATTGCTTGTTTTCTACACGAGAGTACCTACGATCTCCTCATCAAAAGTAGATAAATCAGTCGCTTTGTTCCAATTCAGATGGTGTCAAAGATAATTCGGGACTAAGAATGTCATCTTTTATTTTCGACCATTCCAGTAGATAGAATAAAAGTTGTTGTGATGGCAATTTTTGAGCTATACCTGATTTTAACGATGACAAACTATTGCCATATTGATGTCAAACAAGCAAGTTGCTGGTTGTTGTCTATCATCAGAAAATTCAACTTCATGTTTGACAATTTTAATATTCAGACTCCTAACTCAAATACAATTTGTTGGAAAAATGTGGAGAATGATATGATTAATTTGAGAACATAGTAGGCACTTTATGGTCCTATATAGGGCCATAACGGAGCTCGCGGGCGCTGAAGTTCCACTTCACGACCGCTGATCTAGATTATATCGATACTGCTCCACGTCTGCTTGTGCATTTAATAGTATATTATTGATGTGTGACCAAGGCAGAGAATAGACTTTTGCAGCCCCCTTCGCTTAGTGCAGCTGGTAGAGCTAAGGGATGCTAAAGCGTTTCCTGCAAATTCTGCATGTGTGACACACAACTGTTTTTTGCCTGCCAAAAAAACCAAAAAAAAAAACGGAAAATACAACAGAGATCTCTAACTTCTCAATTATTCTTTTGATTCCAGACTTTGATTCACATTGACGTTGATTTTAGGAGATCAAAAGCTCTTGAAATCCATAATAAATAATCAAGGTCCGTATTAAAAATGTCATAGTTTGGGGTGGCCCACGAGAACAACACCCTGTAGAACACTTTTATTCACATATATGGCAAAGTGCAAAGAGTTCGTGGAAATCTATTGTATTAGCACTATTAGCAGATATAAGTAAGTGAAAAACAAAAATCAAGTTTTTAATTTTTCAAGTATATCTCCGAAAGGACATCATAGTAATGAGCTCCATAATACACAACGATTTCTGCATGTGTGACACACAACTGTTTTTCGCCTACAAAAAAAAAGAAAAAAAAAACAGAAAATACAACGAAACTCTTCAATTTCATAATTGTTCTCTTGATTCTGAACTTTGATTCACAATGACGTTGATTTTAGGAGATCAAAAGCTCTTGAAATCCATAATCAATAATCCAGGTCCGTATATGAAATTTCATAGTGAGGGATGGCCAAAAGGAAAACAACACCTTGTGAAACACTTTCATTTACATATTTGGCAAGAGTTTCTGGAAATCTATTGTATTAAAACAGATATAAGTTAGTGAAAAACAAAAATTCATGTTTCAAATATTTCCTGTCTATATCTGAGAGGAAGAGAGCTGGATTTCTCAACATGATCATAGTAATGAGCTTCATAAGCTCACACAACTTTGCCTTTATGTAACCCTCCCTGTAGTTCTTACCGTTTCCGAGATTTCCGAGTTCCCTCAATCCGAATCAATCTCCATGACCTTGCCTACACCGAAACTCGATACTTTTGCCAACCGGAAGTTTGAAGTGCTTCGCAATTTGAGATAACCTCGAAGTGGCTGACCTCTGGTGTCAGTTTTCGAACTACTATAGAGGTGAACAACAAACTTATAGTAATGCCCAACATAAAATTAGATTTTTGAATGTATGATAAATTGATATTCTTTATACAGGACGTGGAAAGAATTTCTGAATTGAGAAATTCTAATCACGAATCTGCGATTGAGGTCTATATTTTAAACGAGTATTTTCATGCAAATATAATAGGTAGAAATCAGGAATCTATTTTTGGTGCCAACACTACGACCCAAACTAAATTTATTCATGAACCTGTATGCAAGTCAAATGAACAAATGAATTCTTGAATTATTTAATTTTCAAACACAATCGGGTGTGAAATTTTCTTACCGAATACCACACGAGGTCAAATTACTTTTCTCGCTCATGAATATTTCGCAAAGTATCCCTCGTCTTCGACTCGGAATGATTTTCAAAATATCCATGAGCTCGAAAAAATTTCCGGAAAGAATTTGACCTCTAGTGGTATTACAAGTGAATTTTCAGAACATCGTGATATTACTTATGATTCTAATAAAAGTGAAATTTGCAGCGCCACCTAGCGGTTCGTGACTGCCACTAACTGACATGTCGTCTAGCGAAGCCACGTCGAATAGACGCAAAGATGCTCCACCTAGGACGCCGAGGAAGAACAAGCCGCGATCGCGGTCGGCGGCCAGACGGAACGATCTGGAAAAACCGAAGAAGAAGAGGAACGTCAGCGCGGCCCACTCGTTCGCCTCCATTCCCAACGCCATCAAGCTGTCCATGCTGAACAGCGGACTGCTGCCCACCAGCAGATTCAATGGTGAGTGTCAAGGCCGTCACAGATAAAGAGGATTTCTTCGATCAAACAAATCCATTTTCTTCAAATTATATTACTTCGTACAAGAATTGTTCATATGACTGGAGCAATATACACTTGTCTCAAATCAATCAGCTTGCTTGCTTCGTTTCTAGACATTTCTTGATATGAATTTGCTCAACATAAACAGTTCGCCTCCATTTCCAATGCCATCAAGCTGTCCATGCTGAACAGCGGACTGCTGCCCACCAGCAGATTCAATGGTGAGTGTCAAGGCCATCACAGATAAAAAGGATTTTTCGATCAAACAAATGCATTTTCTTGAAATTAAATTGCATCGTACAAGAATTTTTCATTTCAATGGAGCAATATACACTTGTCTCGAATCAATTGGCTTGCTTGCTTCGTTTCTTGACATTTCTTGAATGAATTTGCTCAACATAAACAGTTCGCCTCCATTGACACTGTTTCCCATAACAAATTATTAGTTAAAATGAGTGACTACGGTATTCGAGGGTTAACGCTAGGTCTTTTTGAGAACTATTCAAAAAACCGAACACAGAAGATAAAGATAGGAGATGTGTTGAGCTCCGAATCAATAGTTGAGACGGGAGTGCTACAAGGTACAGTATTGGGACCCATACTGTTTCTGATATATATAAATAGTATTGCAAAAATCAATAATTTCAAAGGCCAAATGATTTGCTACGCTGACGATACAGCAATTATATTTACTGGGAGAAGTTGGGATGAGGTACACAAAAAATCTGAATGTGGTTTGAAAAATATAAAAATCTGGTTGAATCATAACTTACTAAGCCTAAACGTTGCGAAAACGAAATATATCACCTTCTCACCTACGATAAGCGACCAACCCGATATAAATATTAAATTACACTCCTCCAATGTGAAGATTTTGTTGGGTGTACCTGTCCCAAATTGCAAAAAGTTGCAGTCCTAAAATACTTTGGTGTTTTGATTGATCAGCATGTCAGATGGTCCGACCATATTACCTATGTGATAAAACGATTAAGAGCTCTGATTCACAAATTCCTTCTACTACGAGATATTCTATCACGAAAAAAATCTCATCATGTTATACAACTCGTTAGTTGAATCTACCTTGATATTGCATAACAATTTGGGGAGGTGCTTTCACAAGCACTCTGCAAAACTTACAAACAACTCAGAACACTTCACTGAAAATATTGTTTCATAAGGAAAAACTCTTTTCTACGAAATTACTTTACCAAGATACCAGTTTATTCCAAGTGAGACAAATTTATATCTACCAATGTCTCCTGCGAATGCATCAAAATTATGAACATTTTTCAAAAAGGCCTCTCAATACTAGAGCAGCAACCAATCTCAACGTTGAAGTTAGTCATTTCAGAAAATCTGTCACACAAAGATCCTTCCTTTATTTTGGACCGAAACTATTTAATACTATTCCAGCTGACATTAAAATAATCCGCAATAAAAGTAAATTTTAATGTGAAATAAAAAAACTCATTTTCAACAATGCCCTACAATTCGATATTTTCTGATAAATCATCTACAACATCTATTCATACTTATCGTTCCCCTCATTAATCATTAATCAGTAATTTCAATATTTTAATTATCTGCCTATATACTGTTCTCTGTTTCAAATTTCAAAATTCTTATTGAGACTGATATTGACATTTCATTGTAACTACCTACCTCTATTCCTTTTTTGTACTCCAAAATTCTTTATTTTGTTATTTAATTTTATTGTGTAAAATGGACAAGGACACAACAGGCACCCGTGCCTAGGTCGTGCCTTTTAGACAAAACTTTACTTTATAAAAAATGTGAACCAATTATATACTATGAACTGTACAATGCCAATCGTAGAAATATATTTGATTTGATTCCCAATGCCATCAAGCTGTCTATGCTGAACAGTGGACTGCTGCCCACCAGCAGATTCAATGATGAGTGTCAAGGCCGTCACAGACAAAAATGATCTCTTCGATCAAACGAATCCATTTTCTTGAAATTAAATTGGTTCTTACAAGAATTTTTCATTTGAATGGAGCAAATACACTTGTCTCAAATCAATCAGCTTGCTTGCTTGCTTCGTTTCTTGAAATTTCTCTATATGAATTTGCTCAACCTAAACAGTATATTTCTTCATTCAAGAAAACTGCGACTACAAGTAACATAAATTTCAATTTATATTGGTCCAAGAAAATCTCTGCTTGTCTGAAAGACTTGCAGTGACGTATATACATCAGCGGTACGCCTGCGCCCATTCGACTCCTCAGTCGTTAGCCGCCATTCGTTATTGCCGCTGTTGTTTCTTCTGAAGACGGTGCAAAGTACCTTCGTTTTTCAATGGTGAAGTGTTCAAGAATCAAGTGTGCTGAGTCATGGGTAATAGTGGTGTGGTATCATCTTCACAGCAATGCGGCGTTCCATATTCGAGGATAAACTGCGAGAGTAAGAACTTTGTATATATTTGTAACAGAGTTGTACCTAGTAAGGTGTTTTAACTTTTTATTTCATCGGAAACATGTTTAGAACCTTGATATCAATCATAACTGAAACAATAACTTCACATCACTGTCAACGCAGATCGCCAATGTTTGTATAAGCTGCACAGCACACATTCGTTCAGCAGTTAAGATTTGACCAGTCGCATTCATTCGATGAACGCACCACCGATAGGTATAGGTAGGTAATTGTCCTTTCTTTGTATATTTTTCATTCGATTCCTGATTAGAATGATTGCACCAATAATATGTCTCCTTCCTTCGTGTTTTTACATACCTATAACAACTTTTATATATGGCCATTTGTCAATCGCAGAATTTCTTGTAACCAGAAAATATCTGGTTGTCTTGAAATTTCGTTAGTTTTCTGAAGCAAGTTCTATAGGTATATACGGTTAAAGATTCCCATTTAACAAGCCACTCTGCAAAAACACAAAACATTTTTCAATTGATGATTTTACTCTTATCTCTAGGTTTTCGTGGTTCAAAATTCAAGCCATTTCAAGCACAGTGACATTCTGCGGAAGAAGACGAGGGCGGCAAATCACAAAAATCTAGAAAAATAAATATTCCACCTCCTAGATTAAGCTACTCATAGTATTCGATGATTTTACTATATGTATATGTTTTCATTTTTGTTATGTTACATAGGATGACCAAGTTTTGATAATAAAGCCTTTTGTTTACCAACAATACCAACTGTAAGAATTAATTTTATTAAATACTCAATACTCTAGAGTAAGATATATTTTGATTTCCTTCAATATGATAATCTCTTGACACAAGAAAATGAGGATCTTCTGAAAAAAATATCCACTTATTATAATGAGATATTATCTATTTGTAAAAGGCACGAAATTTCTTGATTCAAGAACAAAATTGTTCAAATATGATGGGAGATTAACTTGACAATAGAGGAATTTTCTTGTTTCAAACTAATTCATTATATATTCGACTAATACGTACTGTGAATATAAAGAAATATCCATTTGAATCAAGATTTCAAGTCGAGAAAGTTCTGTTGAAAAATCGAACAAATATTTGGTTGGACCTATTCAAGAGCGCCATATGGTTGAGTCAATGCTGTTCCGCATTGAATCAAGAAATCGTTTTTATCTGTGATCCATTCCACTGCCTAAATCCGACTTTTTCTTCTCATTTCTAAGAAAAAAATTGAATTGACAGTTCTTTCTTTTGCTTGGACCCCCCGAAAGAAGTTTTCGACCCAATCCCAAATATCATTGTCAGATTGGTCATTGTGAATCACGTGACACATTATGGACGCATGCGCATTTGCTTGTAGAAAAATTTAAAATTATTGACCCTCGGGGTCTCGAGAGGAAGAAAAAACATCATTTAAAGCCTAAATCACTACACAATTGATCACAGTGGGCTGACGCCATGCTTTTAGTGAACGGGAATAAAACTCCTTGTGCAAACTCAGCCTCCACAATTTTATTGCGGAAAATAATCATAAAAAAAACACGAATCTCACTATATTACGTGATTGGAACGGTTCGAAAGATTTGGGCACTTCTTTCGTTGAGCGAGTGGACTGATAAGGAATTATTGGCATTCAATTACTCCACTGTGTCGTTAGGAACCTAAATTGATTTCTGCAACAATTCTCTCACTTTTTTTTATGTAAATAATGCGAAATAATGAGTGTGCGTTGTTCGAAATTGTTGAATTTCAGAGCTCATTTCAAACGAACGTTCATGGCCGCCATTTGGCGATACTTCGAATAAATGGTGACGTCAGTTTTTATGCTGTTTCTTTATTGGTCAGATAATTTCTCATTTCCACTCATGAAGCAAGGTTGTCAAGTCACCAATTATAATCAAGTTATCAAAAAGATGTTAGAGTCCTCTCGTTGAATAAAATATAGGAGGATCCCATGATATTATAGTTCATTCTTGATATTTATAACAAAATGTCATGTGAGTGTTGGAGACTTGTCAACATTGTGCTGAATGCTGCATGAGCACTGACAAGACCACGCCCACAAATCGTGCACCGTGTTGTCACGTTCACCGATCCAAATGTATTTATTCCTAATAATGATCGCGATTTTAATGCCAAATTTCACGTTCACACGTAATCGCGTGACCAAGGGAAATATGTATTCATTTTTATACAAGGTGTTACATAAGTACGTTGAAATATTCGAGTGAAGTATTCCTGAGACAAATTTAAGAAAAAAGTCTATATAAACTTGGGTCCGGAAATACTTTACTGAAATACAGAGAAAATCATTTTTCGATAAACATTTCATAGGAAAAAGTAGTTTATTTTGACGAGACCTACCAAACCTAGGAGCTAAGTAGCATGCATCGATATAGAAAATTGTAAATATGTATCTCCAAAACGATCACCTCCAGCGTTGTTGAGGAGTGTACCTTTTTCACTTGGAAAAGATATGGGAATGAGGTTTTTCCATGAAAAGTACCAAAAGTTTAATCTCAAAAATGTTAGGGCAATTTG